GAATGGGAGGGTTTCCCTGTGCTCTTTCTCTGACTGCTTGTCATTGGTATATAGAAAGGCTATAGACTTTTGTAGGTTAATTTTATGAACTGCTACTTTACTGAATGTGTTAATAATCTAGGAGTTTTCTGGTGGAATTTTTGGTGTCTCTTAGATATAATACCATATCATCTGCAAAAAGGGATAATTTGATCTCTTTTCCAATGATTACTCCTTTAATTTCCTGTTCTTGTCTTATTGCTGTTGCAAGAGTTTCAAGCACTTTGTTAAAGAGAAGTGGAGATAGTGGACAGCCTTGTCTAGTTCCTGATTTCAATGGGAACGCTTCCAGTTTTTCTCCAGTTAGAATGATGTTGGCTGCATACATCAAATTCTTAACCAAATTATGAAATTATCTGTTCCATCACTGAGAATATGTAAAATAAATCAGAACATTAATTACCAGCCTTTATTAAAGTCTTTTGGTGGGCTGGAGAGAAGAATGCATATTGTTTTTGCAGAGGACTAGAGTTTGGTTCCTATTACCCACATCAGGTGGTTCAGTTGCCTGTAGCTCCAACTCCAGATCTAATGCCCTCTTCTGGTCACCTTGGGCACCTGCACCCATGTCCACAGACCCACACATATACATAATTTTTAAAACTATACATTTTTAAGTCTTCCTAAAGTAGCACTAAGGGAAAGTTAGAAATGTTCAAAACCCAAGGTTTAGATTCATTAGGACAGAAGAACTAAATTCCAGTTCCTAGCTTGAAATACCATCCGTATGCAGAGAGCTACCAAATTTGTGTCTTGTTTCTTGCCTATATTTTTGTAATCTCATTGATCTACTATTACACTTAACACCATATAATCAATTCTAATACATCTGCAAAGAGTAATCTAAACTGTTCGTTGACTCCCCACTTCAGAACAGAAATCAGAAACATCCCAGTGACTTCATTTCTGGCATCCCTCACCTGCCAGTCCCCTTGGTCATGAGCCAGCCAAGACACACTCTCCTGCCTTAGGATCTTTGTACCCCCTATTCCCTCCACCCATTCTTGCTTATGTCCACTCACCTAACTCCATCTCTCAATCCTCAAAGTATCCTTTTTAATGTTACAATGTCCCTTCCCACCCCAAGACTTCAGATTGCATTTACCCTGCTGTATGTTCTGTTTATGGACTTTGTTTACTCTCTCCCAGATCATGAAAAGTGCCACAGAAAAAGAATTGTGTTCTTTTTGTTTACAATATCAGAGTGTAGAATAGTACTTTGTATATAGAAAGCTCTCAAAACATTACTTGAAGGCACTGTTTAGATCATAGTGGGTACACAAGACAGTGGAGGCTACACTGTATAACCTGATAAGCTAACATCACACACTTAGGTGAGGTGAAGACACGAGCATTCTAATCTGTGACAGGAGCAGGTACAGAAGAAATGGCCAGAAAAGGGAACTGAGCTGAGACCTGGATGATGACCAGCCCTATGGCAATCTCAAGGAAAAGTTCACAGTGGGATGCTTGGCTTTTAACCATGGACAGGTAATGCTGGAGTAGAACCATTCAAAACTTAGAGGTTCCCAATCTCAACTCTAGAACATCTGCATTCCTAAAAATACCAGCAACTCAGAGCATGCACTCATTCTAAGCAGGTATGGTGTGTGCATGTAATGCCAGCACTCAGAAGATGAAGGCAGAAGGATCAGAACTCCAAAGCCAGCCCTGGCTACAAAGCACCCCCTGCCTTAGGGAGAAAAAAAAAAAAAAAAAAAAGCACCATGCACATTCTGATACTGGGAAACATTTCCTATAGAATATAATTGGTCCTGGCTCCACATATTCACCAAAGATTTATCACACTGCCAGGAAGCCTCTTCCCATGCTGGCCATTGCACCTGTGTACTCCTGGACTTTTAGCTTTTACTTCCCCACATTTGAAACTAACAAAGAGCCTCAAGAGGCCTATAACTTATGACAGCAGATAATCCAAACAGACTATTGGCTAAAATTCTAAAGTTAGGGCCAGAGAGATGGTTCAGTAGTACTGGTTTTGGAGAGGACCCAAGTTCAGTTCCCAGCACCCACATCCAGGAAATCTGATGCCACCTTCTGGCCTCTGAGGGCCAGCATGCACCTATGTGCACAGGCCCACATGCAGATACATAAAATTTAAAAATAAATTTTTAAAAAATATTCTATGTTGAAAGATCAAATTACATAATTATAGGCTGTCTTAAGACATCTCATCTCACAATGAGATGCCATTCTGTCAGCTCGAACCCTATATTTCTGTAGGTTTCGTCAAAGAAAAGAAGTGTAAGTATAACAGAGAAAGAAAAATCAGAGCATTTAGTGCCATGGTTTGGCTCTGAATGCCCATTCCTGAAGGCTTTGTTTGCAATACACTGTTCAGTGGTGGGGCTTTTGTGTTGAATTGGACCTTGAGCACATGGTAGTCACACCTTTAATCCCAACACTAATTTGTCAGCATTTTAAAACTGTTATACTTCTTACTGTCTATAACTCCTGTTAAACTCAGTAATAAAAGAATTCCTTAGAATTTGCCACCAACTCCTTTTAACATACCTACTTTGCCTGAACCATGACCTTTGTGCCAAGGCTTTTTTCACTGAGAGGCTGTGACTCTTCACATAGTACACAAAAATCAGGTAAGCCATAGATAGATATAAAGATATACTTTTATTAATGTGTATGTATGTTTTCTGAGTGTATGCCACCTGTGTGCATGGAGATAAGATAGTTACAAACGGTTGTGAGTCAAAACAGGTCCTCTGGAAGAGAAGGAAGACCTTAACTACTGAGTCATCTCTCCAGCCACCAAGCCATAGGTTTTGGGGGTTTTTTTCTTAATTTTTTTTATTATTTTTATTTTATGTGTATGAGTGTGTTGCCTGCATGTATATGAGTGCACCCATGTCATACAGTGCGCAGAGGTCAGAAGAGGGTGTCAGATTCCCCCGGAACTGGAGTTAAGGACCGTTCATAGCTTCCATGTGGGTGCTGGGAATCGAACCTGGGTCCTCCGCGAGAGCAGTCAGCTCTTAACCGCTGTACCATCTCTCCAGCCCCCAAGCCGTATGTTTTTAATAAAAATAAATATTTTAGAAAAGCTGGGGCTGGAGAGATGGCTCAGCAGTTAAGAACACTGATCGTTCTTGCAGAAGACCCAGGTTCGAATCCCAGCACCCACAAGGCAGCTAACAACTGTCCATAACTCCAGTTCCAGGGTATCCAACAGCCTCTTATGTCCTCTGAGGTCACTGCACGACCTGGGTGCACTTAACCTACACACAGGCAATACATGCATACACATATAAAAATAAAAATATTAAAAAACAAAACTGCTCTGGGAGCTGGGCCTGATGGTTCATGCCTGTAATCCCAGCAACTGGAGGCTGACAATTCAACTGGAAGGCTGAAAATTCAAGGCTAGCCTGGGATACATAATAAATCTGAGGCCTACTTGGGCTGCATAAGATTCTATCACAAATAAAAGCAGCTCTCAAAAGAATGATCATTGTTTCCCTAGCCTGAGTGGATGTTTAGTCACTTGATCATTGTTTTCCTGCCCCACACCCATGTCAGGATGTGGCCCGACACTATCCTCATCCCCCCCTTTCCCAAAAAGCAAACCAGAAGCGTAACTGGTTTCAATACAAAATGACACACGATACTAGTAGGCACCTCTGAAATATTTAAAACAAGATATGCAGGTAGAAGCAGGAATCCAAGCTAGTTAGTTGCTTGCCTGTCTGTTGGTTCCCTAAAGGACAGTGAGCCTCTAACTTCCCTATGCTGTACAATCTGATTCAACAGATTGGAAGCGGGAGAGGGGCAGGGGACAAGAACCTTTTTGTGCATCTCTAATAAGCACTCAAGTGATGCCAATGCTTCTTCTAAGGTAGCCAGCCACTAAGGCACATGGTGCTGTTAAGCCCCTAAAATCTGGCTATCCCAAATTTAATTGATCTGTAAGTACCAAGCACGTATCGACTTCCAAGACTTAGGAAAAAAAAAAAATCTTGATTCTATATGCAGATTTCATCTTGAAGTGCTAATATTTTGTACTAGATGGGTCACTGAGAAGTACTTCTGTTTTTAAAATCCCACATGTGACTGCACTACAGTTAAAAATAATGCCCCTTTTTGGTAGCTCGAAACCTTGTGATGTCTACACTACTAGAAATGATACTCATTAACCATTAAATCCACTTCCCAGTATCCCCACGCGCTCCACTTAGTCTATTACTTCCATCTCCTTTCCGGTTCCCACGCTTGGAGATCTTATGGCCTACTGGAAACCGATAAAAACGGTTCCCAGCTGCGGCCGCGTCTGCCCAGGCGGATGCGGCAATTCATCACCCGCAGCGCTGTCCCGGCTCCTCCTTCTCCTGCTCCAGCCACGACCTCCCCAAGATGGCGGGCGGCGATGGACAGTTTCCGCTTCCGGCGTGAGCGTCCAGGCCAAGGGGGGGTCAAGATGGCGGCGGCACTAGGGGTCCATGGCCAGTGCGAGCTGTCGCCTCGCTCAGGACGGTGCTGGCTTCTCAGCCTTTTGGCTTTGTTGAGCCTAGCGGCTCGAGGGGCCCTGGCCACCACGCACTGGGTCGTCACGGAGGACGGGAAGATCCAACAGCAGGTAGCGGCCAGGGGCACCCCTCTTTGCCCGCGCCCCGTGCGGGGATCCCCAGGGTCCGTGGGGCTCCGCGCGGCCCCGCCTCCGCCTCCTTCCCACTGTGTGGCCCGCGGCTTGCAGCGCTCAGACCCTCCGCCTCCGCCGCGCCGCGAGGAACTTCTCAGCTTTCCACCGTGGCGCCGCATGTGGGGGTCCGAGCCCAGGGGCTTGGCAGTGACATGTCCATCATTAGCTGTGCCTGTCCTGGGCCCACGCGCCTCCGCCCGTCCCTGGGGAAATAGAAAGCAGGTGGCAGCGCCGCGGAGTCCCGGGATGCTGACAGCCGGGGCAGCCCTAGCCAGGAAACCACTGAATGCGGCTTCCCGGTGTCCTTTCCCAGAGGGTGGCATTTGTTCCCGCTGTAGTGGTTTTAGCTTGGGCGGTATCCCGGGGTCATCAGGGGGCTCATTAAAGACAGCCCACTGTCTTCTCCCTCCGAAGGAATGCTTGGAGATGTCTCTGGTGGCGTTGTCTGCATCATTTCAGCTCTTTAAGTGTCTCATTTCCCGGTGTACTTTGCATTGCTTCTTTACCTACTTTCTGTGACCCAGCCCCGCAACCAGTAATGCGATTTACTGGAAAATTGTCCTCAGATGAGAGACCGCTTTTCTTACATAACTTTCTCGTGTCTGCATTTGCATTTATGCTGCTGATGCTTAAAGGGGGGGGGGAGAGAGAGAGATTAAAAAGTGAAGTATGTGCTCCATGCAGTGTAAGCGTACTGACTTGAACATTTTAAGCAATGTCATGTGAAATTACTGGTCCTTTAAGTTGACAGTGAGTGGTGATAGGAAACATATTGCAAGGTTTATTTTAAAGGTGAGACTTAGATTTACCATGTGATATTTTATAACGATCAGCGAATATAATTTTAAAAATTAACCGTCGTGTTTCCATTATTTACTCATTGTATCAATGTCTGACTCCATTAGAAAAGGGTTTTTTGTTGTTTTTGTTTTTTTTGGGTGTGTGTGTGTGTGTGTGTTTCTTAAAATTGTTTTCAGAAACTGTAGAAAATTCTTTTAGGCTTTCTTTTTGACAGAAGAGTGGAAATCCTGTATCCCTGCTTTTCATTTTCTGGTGGTGGTTTTTGTTCCTGAGGCCCCCACAGAGGGAGACATTGAATTAAGTCACTTACACTGCAATTTGGGGAGCCCTTCTCCTATTGTTGCTCTTTTGTTATATTGTTTCTGGCCATAGCTATTTATATTCTATGACATTGACTTCTTTCTGTTTTGGTACCCTGGCACTCAGCTCACAAAGTAGCCCATCTGAAAAGTGCAGACTGATGGAAGTGGATTACATATATGCCAGGATTGCAGTGAGAGAATAAAAATCAGGTGTGGTTTTGTTCTTTAACAAATTCCTTCATTTGCACATTGAATACATATGTTTTACTAGGGGAAAAGGGGGGTTATTAGTAACTTACCTCAGAGAAGTGTGAATCTTTTGATCTCTGCCAAGTATTCTCTGCAGTAAATAGCCTTAAAGTTAAGAACACAAGATTTCTTTCATGTCTTTTTTAATGATCCATTTCGTTGAATTTTCTGATTGTTATACATTAGTAGTTGTATTAAGTTCAGGCAGTCATAAATTTTATTCTACAAGAAATAAAGTTTCTGTCTACAATGTAACATCTAGGGGCTAGAGCAGGGAAGTTGGATTTGATGTGAGTTCAACTAACTGATAACTCAATTGGCTTTTCCTGGTAGTAACTGAGTCTGAACTCAGTTTAGATTGCAGTCAATGATCACATTTGGGTACACTTAAGGAACTGATAGGTACTATTAGAACATGGATTTGGGGACACTGGAGCTCTGGTTGTGCATTCAGAAACATAACTAAAAGGCAATCTGTCTACAGTATGCTAAGTGACATACCCAGCTCCTGCTGCTTGTTCTGGGTTATATTACCCAATTGAGAAGAAGTATGACTTCATGAAAATTGTTTAGTATTTGGAAGGGGCTAAGGGCAAAGCTGAAATAGAAAATCTTAGGAAAGTAGAGCTGCAAATGCCTGTCTGATCAAAATGGTCTGATGTCTAACCTTGCCCAAATTACATTTAATAGGTCATTATTTTTCACAGCAAATGTGGAGATGTTCGTATGAATTAAAAATCAGAATTGCCCAAAATGTGCATCTAAATAGAACATTTTCCATCATTGTAGTTAGTACAATGTAGCAAGCAGTCTTTAGCAGAAGTGCATATTCATTGGATTTTTATATCTCAAGCCTCAGCAGACCCTAAAGATAGGTACCCACCAGTTATAGACTGCAGTCTTGTGAATATGCAAGTTGGGTTGAAACGGGGTTGCAGTCAGGTTCTACATTCCTACAGGCAGCCTCTTCACAGTCAAAGGTGGGGCTACCACTGGCCGCAGCAATCATCTAGTTCTTGTCATGGCAAATCAGGTATTTCATCTTTCCATAATTCCTACCTCAGCTGTGAAGCCTACCTTCCTACCACTGAATTCCCAGAGTGTGGTCCAGGGAATCCTGGAGCTGGGATGTGGAATAGATACTCCAGTTGCAATGTTCCTTTTCCAATGTAGACAGAGGAAGGTTTAAAAGGCACTCCACTCAAATCCTAGCTTTTCCTCAACTTTCAGTATTGGCAAACCTCTTATCCTCCATTGTCCCCTATACCTGGAAACTAGCAAAACATCTAACTTGGTTTCATTTCCTGTTGCTGTGATAGAATGCCCTAACAAAAGCACCTTAAGGGAGAAAGGCTTTATTTGTCTCATAAATCAGCATTACAGTCCATCATAAGGGACCGGGAGAGGTCAGGACAGTAGGAACTTGAAGCAGCTGATTTGAAACAGCTCCTCACATCCACAGCCCAGAACAGAAAGAAGTTAGTTAATTTCTTTGTTTTCATGTTCAGCCCCCTTTCTTCTTTAATACAATCCAGGACCCAAACTCCAGAATGGTGCCAACCACAGTGGGTGGGTCTTCCCATCTCAGTGTAATCAAGACATTCCCCCAAGGACATGCCCACTGGCCAATCTAGTTGAGACAGCCTCTCATTGAAACTTTCTTCCCTGGTGGTACTAGATTATGTCGAGGTGACAAAACTAACCACACCATTTATCTCACTTTATTTAAGCAAGGGCCCTTATCTTGGGGTCAGTCTCTAGGGGCATGAAGGCCTATGCATACTGTTATCCAGCTAACAGGAGAATCTATTCAGGCCAAGGAAACACTACAGCATCCTTAGGCAAGTTGAAATGGAGCTTCATAGCTAAGTACAGTGGTATATGCCTGTAATCCCAGCACTTCGGATGTGGAGGCAAGAAGACCATCTACATAGCAAGTTCAAAGCCAGGCTGGGCTATGTGAAACCTTGTCTCAAAACACACCCCAGCACATGCAGCACCCATACAGGCAGGCACAGAAAGCAGAAAGGAAGGCTGCTGCTGTCAGCTCCTACATTCCTTTAGGCAGCTTCCTAATGGTCACAGCTGGGGCTGCTGCTGCTTGACTGCTGCTGAAGAATAAACTTCTAGGTGAGTAGTTTTGTTGTTTAATTTTGTTGTTCTTGCTTAACCGCTAATGCGGCAACTTTTCTTTTCCCTCCGGTCTCTCCCCTTCCCTGTCTTTTCCCCCTCCCTCCCTTCCCTCTTCTTGTTGTTTTCTGTTGTGTTGTTGTTTGTTTTTATCTGGTTTTGTTTTTTTGAGACAGGGTCCCGTGTAGTCTAGACTTGCCTCAAAGTTACTATGTAGCAGAGGCTGACCTTGAATTCCATATCCTTCTGCCTCAAGTGCTAAAAGTACAGAGGTTACAGGTGTGTACTATCACACGCAGCTGTTTCTCTTTTATGTTTTACTTATCAAAGTACCTGGCAATTCACTTGCATCAGAGATTAAATTGTTGGGGTTAGACTAGATCCTAACCACTGTATAGCATCTCAATTTCTTTGTTTTCTTTTCTCCTTTTTTTTTTTTCCTGTTTATTTTTTAGAAAGGGTCTCACATACCCCAGGCTGACTGGCAGCCCACTCTGTAGGGTGACCTTGAATGCCTGTTCCTCCTGCCTGCAAGAGTGGTGCTAAGCTGTGTGCCACCATGCCGGCTCTTTCATGTCATTTCTATGGGAAAAAATTCTAAGTTCCATGTCTTGAACTACCAGCTGCCAGATGAACCCTTGAAATGTTACTGGTTTGTTAGTGTGTGTCAGCTTATTGAATCAAGAAGTTCTTTTAGCACCTATGTACATTGCCTCTTGATAATTTCTTTCTTCAGAAATGGAATTCTAAATATTTAAGTGAGAAATTACCATTATTCTCTCTCCACTGTCTCTATAACATTATAGCATTTGTTTTCTTGACACTGTTTCCTTCTCCTCTGATGTTAGAAACATAAAGTTTTAAAATTGGTGGAAAACGATTTTTGTGGGGAGGGGATTCTTAAAGAGTATATGGTACAAACTAACTTAATTACCTTAGTCACACAACTGATGAGTAGTACTTTGCGATGGAAGTAATTCTAAGCATATTAATCTACAGTAGTAGCACGTGACTTGTACTACATTTGAAGCATGTAGTTTTCTTTTCCTAATGCTAACATGTGAAGGAATGGGAAGAAACAGAAGAGGAAAGATGGAAATAATGAAATCGAATCCAGACCTTTTTTTTTTTTTTTTTTTTTTTTTTTGAAGTCTCTCTGTAGCCCCAGCTGGCCTGGGACTCACTGTAGACCAGGCTGGCCCAGATCCCACAGAGATCCATCCACCTGACATTGCCCTCCAAGTGCTGGAACTAACAGCATGTGTCACCATACCCGGCATTACTTGATCACTTTGTCTGTGATCAGGCAAATAGTCAGGGAGTACAGATAACTTAAGCTCACAACACGTGAAGTTTGTGACAGTGCTGATGATCCCAAGCTTATCTCTCAGCAGAGCACACTTGATTAGTGACTTTGAGCCACTGTCGCCCCAAAGAAGAGACACCACATTGAAC